GGCGGCGGGCAGGCCAGGTGCGGCAGGCGGCGGGACCCAGGAGGAGGCGGATGGGAGACACAAGGAGGAGCGGCACGTCCCTGGCGTGCCGGCTCAAAAGGGAGAGGGGCCGGAAGGGAAGGAGGCTGCCGGCATTTCTTTCGACCCCGCAGGCAACCTGGGGAGCGGAGCCGGAGGAGCCGGAGGAGCCTGAGAAGTGGGAGGGCCGGAGGAGGAGGGCCGGACCTCCGCAGCCCATACCCGGGGCGAGACCTCCCGGCCCGGGGCTCCGAGGACCGGGGCCGAAGGCGGACGGCCCCACCTCCTACACCCGAGGAGTACCGAAGGCCGGGCCCGACGGAGGGCAAACCCCCGTGGCTGGTTCGTGAGCGGGACCGAGAGCGGGGGGCCCGCCAGCGCCCATGGACTGAGCGTAAGCCCGGGCGTGGCGGCCGCAAACCCGGGGACCCAGACAGCGGGGCCGGGACTCGGGGGCCGAGACTGTGGGTGAGAGACACAGGCGAGCGAGGGGATCGGGGAGACGGCGCTGGCCGGCCGGCCCAACTTCGCCACAAGTACCAATGTAATATTAAGTGAAGGAACAGGAATGGTATTCCATGGCTGTTGTATCTTTCTCTGTTATAATCTAGATATTACTACATAACAGGCACTAGCTACTTGTGTCAGCTGTGACATAGCCTCTTCTAATCCCTGAACAATCCCAGTTTCTAAAGACATTCCTTCTTCTCTATTGGGCGGACACCACTAGAGGAAAGGATATTTCCTTTTCCGTTGCTTTGTTAAACTCTTCCTTTGAATCGAGCTGCACAGCTGTTAAAGAAAACAGCTCAGCTCAGTTGGGGCTGGCAGCTGGAGGAAGAGGATGTGCGTTATCAACTCCAGGCAAACTGCAGCGACTACCCAGAATCCAAGGCGCTATCATCCAGACTGGAGGCCAGATGCAACCAGACACCTCATGGGTTCCTGAGTCAAGCAGGAGCAGACAGATCTCAGACAAAGGAGTAGAGACAGAGATCCATGATGGAGCAGGAAGCAGCCCAAGGAAGGTGACAGCTACATGGTGAGTGAGCTGAAGTGAGGGAGTCAGTGTTTCAGATGGAGCTTTTCCCTGCTGACTCAGTGGCTAGAGAAAGCCACTAACAGGGCCTTGATCTGGGGTCCAGTGGAATGGGAGCTCATGGACCCGCCTGCTAGGGGATGTAAATCCTTCCCCTATCTTCCATCCCTTGAGAGGAGACCACACTATCCCACAAGTACTGACTCTACCGAGATACTGACTCTAACCATTGAACTGCAGTACCTTGTGCACAGGGGTGAATCACAGGCAATAGCTATCGGGCTACACTGAATAGGGGCAAGGTATGGACTCCGGTCATTTGGCCACCCCGTCCTGTGGACTAAAGGGGGTTTACTGGCTTTGGTGGGTAGACCAATTAATCGTAAAACAGTGGGTGGAGCTGTAGACACAGCCTGGGGAGCAAAAGCAGAGGTGCGTCAGAAGTGAGGCAGGTGCCCTTATCCCACACTAGGCAGGGTCTTCTCCCCATCCGTGTGACACTCCTCTAAGGTGATACTTGACTCTGCCTTCTGCAGTGTCACACTACAACTTCCTTTTCCTACCTGCGGATCACTGACAGCTGCTGCACTACTAACTTCCTCCTCCGGCTCTCCTCGTGCCTCCTGAGACTCAGTCTCCATCTCAGCTCCTAAATGTATTATGTCAGCGTGAGCTAACTCTTTTTCCTTCTTTCTTGTAATTGCTCGATTCCTAGTACCCTCGCCATAGCAACGGGATTAGGGACTGCTCCTTTATTCTCTTTTAACTTGTCTCCTGTCTTCCTCACAATCTGTGCCTCCTTCTGTACCCCTGTGTTTGCTCTTTCTCTCAAGGAGCTTTCTACAGTGAGTACTCTGTCTCTCTTATGATTCTTATCTTTCTCCAACTCATTGCAAACACTTTCCATCTCTCTGACTCTAACAGCTAACCACGGTTTAATTTAAATCCATCTAGTAATCTTAGGCTGGCCACTAGTGTGTTTCCTGTTCTATTTCCTGTATTTGATGCATGCTCCATTTTAACTTTTTTTCTAACTCTTGCTTCCTTTGGAGAAGACTGATTGCTCCTCCGACAACTAACCAATTTGTTAACTCCCTAATAACCATATCTTTCTCCTCCAGAGTTTGCTAGGCTTTAATTTCTTATTCAATTTCCTCCCTAGTGCACTACAACACACAAGCAGACATTCAATGACTATTCCTTTCACCAATTTAGCTTTTCATTTCTTCTGTTCTGTTTCTACATCACACACCTCATTTACAAAACCCCACAGATTACAATGCTCAGAGATGATCTCATTGTCTCTTAATTGCACTAAATCTCCTCCATTTTCCTGACTGGATGTTCTAGCAAAATTTTCTAAAACCATACTGTGAGCACTCCTACAGATTATACTCTTGCCCTTGTGCTATTCATTTTAACATATAAAATAGAACTCATTTCAAAACTAAAACTTCACTATTGGCTAGCCTGTATAATAAACTGTATGAACACTATGTTTATACTTAACTTTAAAACTCCAAAACTGAAGGCATCTTTTCACAGAAACAAACAGGAAAGAACACTCCAAACAAGTTTGTAATGCTTATTTCAATGAGTCATCAAAGAAAACAATGAAGTGTGTGGGAATGAGTTCCCACTTTCTTCCCTTGATGGCTCTTAGCTGATCAAGAGGTTATTGGAACCTGCCAAACAGTTGGGGGAAACTGAGGTAATGGGATCAAGGGTACAGCCTGGGAGAACTGACAGGACTAAACTTGAACCCTACAAGTTATGAGATATGCAGCCTTTCTGGCAGCTCTAAGCTTTTCTGATGGCTTATTTAAAATATGTCAGCGGACAGTGGGCTACAGACAGGGAAGTTTAGGAGGGAGTTTGACAGAGGGAGGCCTATGATGGTCAGGAAGACCCACAACACCTGTGCCAGCACGGCTTCTGTCTCCTCCACCTGTGCCTGTAGCCAGACAGAATGCCTGAGCGTGGATGCCTCTACCCAGATCCTGGTGTGGTTTTGCAGGGACTGTGGCTTGCAATTCCCACTTACTGATATCCAGGCTGGTTAATAGCATCTACTCAGGCAAACTGCTATTTCGAAATAAATTCAAAATAGTGGAGCCCTTATTTTGAATTTGATAAACCTCATTCTATGAGGAGTAACACCAAATTCGAAATAGCTATTTCGAATTAAGTGCTGTGTAGACACTTAATTTGAAATAGGGGGCCTCCAGCTCTTCCCAGGGAGCCCTGGTGGCCACTCTGGGCACAACTAGGAAAACTTACTCTCCTCTCCCCCCAGTTCAGAGCCAGCAGTGGCCACCAGGGCCCCTGACCCAGTGGCCCCAAAACATAAGCCAGCAAGCCACTGGCAGTCAGCCCTCCACCGCTCCCCAGGAGCAGTCTGCCAGCTCCCAGGAGCCTGACAGGGGCTGGAGAAGGTGGGCACCTTCCTGGTCCAGGGTGGAGATCATGGACCTTATCCAGGTTTGGGGGGATGCCCCCAACTTCCATGATCTCCGCACTAGGTGGAGGAACGCGGCCGTCTATGGCAGAAGAGCGGCCAGCCTGGCCACCAAAGGCCACAAGCAAGTTAGCATGACAGTCAGGTTGGTCCAGTGCAACCCCCAACCCTGAGCCCTGAGCTTCCCCTCCCTCTTCTTCCCCTTGCTTTCCCCTTCTAGCTCCCTCCTCCCAGGTTTCCTCCTCCCTTCTTCCACCCCCTCTTTTTTCCCCTCTCCCACCTCCTTTTCCCAGTCTCCCCAGAGGTTCATCCCCTCCCTTCCCCAGTTTTGTTCAATAAACCCAGTTTCTATTTTTGAACATGCGTGTCTTTTATTTGACATCAGGAAGGGAGGCTAGGGAGGGGCAAGTGGAAGGACGTGAGGGAGGAATGGGGCATAAGCCCCCACTGGGGAGGACCTGGGAGACTCTGAGGGCTTCTTGGGGTGGATGCTCTCCCTCAGGGCTTCCTCGAACCTGACAACCCCCTGATGGACCCCCCCAGATGGCAGCCTGCAGCAAGTGCAGCCAGGCTGATGGCAACAACCCCACGAGACACACCGGCATGCCCAGGGGTAGTTCAGGGTCCATGTGGCCGAGAGCTGTGGTGTCCCGAGTTCGGGCACTCCAAGACAGGACTGCTTTACTGTCCCTCATCGAGGTAGACAAGCAAGCGGGAACCCTGAGAACTGTCTGTCCGGGGTGGGGGTAGGGTGCCTTTAAGCATGGAGCTCAGTTAGCCTCAGGCAGCAGCCCCACACACTAAGTCCTAACCTGATGCCCTGCCGGCACTGGTTCCAGCCAGCCTTAACTCCGGTTCAAGGTCCACTCAGTGTGGACGTGCTATTTCGAAATAGCAAAATGCTATTTTGAAATAGTTTTTGTGTATAGATGCGTTATTTTGAATTAGCTTAAAATAATTAACTATTTTGAATTAAGTTAATTCAAAATAGCACTGTAGTGTAGACATACCCTTACCGATATCCAGGCTGGGAGGACCATCCAATGTGAAAGGTGCCTGCTGGTGGAATCTCTCAGGCAGCAGGTGGGAGAGCTACAGGAGAAGGTGGCTAGGTTAAGGAGCATCCGAATCCACGAGTAATTCCTGAACAGTGTTCATGTGGAGACAGCTGAGATAGCTGTCCCATTACACAGGACTGCTGACACACCACTGGTGGAGGAGGAGATGGCTCAGGGTGGACACTGGCAGATGGTTACTTCTGGCAGCAGGCAGTACTCCACCCCTGCTCCGAACCCTCTCACCGTGGTACTAGGAAACCATTATGCTCTTCTTCATACAGGAGATAAGGAATCACCCTCTATAACAGGAGGAGGAGAAGCCTCATACCCCCAAGGCTGGGAGGTCTGCTGCCACCACTGCGAATAGGAAACATAGGGTAGTTGTGGTCGGAGACTCTTTTCTGAGGGGGACGGAGGCACCCACCTGTCGCCCTGACATGTCATCTCAGGAGGTATGCTGCCTGCTGGTGGCCCATATCTGAGATGTTATGGAAGCAATGTCGAGGATTATCCGGCCCTCTGACTATCCCATGCTACTCATTCATGTGGGCACTAATGATACCGTGAGGTGTGACAAGAGCGGCTCAAGAGTGACTATAGGGCTCTGGGAGTACTGGTGAAGGTGTTTGGAGTGCAAGTGATATTCTCTTCGATCCTTCCTGTCAAAGGTAGGGGACCAGGCACAGACAGGTGCATCCTGGAGGTGAATGCCTGGCTGCAAAGCTGGTGTTTCCAGGAGGGCTTTGGCTTCCTTGACTACAGGATGCTATTCCAGGAAGGACTGCTAAGCAGGGATGGCAGGGATGGCAGGAAGGGGAAGACCATATTTGGATACAGGCTGGCTAACTTAGTGAGGAGGGCTTTAAACTAGGTTTGACGGGGACAGGTGACCAAAGCCCATGGGTAAGTGAAGAACATGGAGACCTGGGAGATGGGTCGGAAATGGGAGGGAGATAATAGCAGACAGAAAGGAGGGATAAGGCAGAACTGGGTGGCAAGATCAAATCAGTATCTTAGATGCCTATATACAAATGCAAGAAGTATGGGTAATAAGCAGGAAGACCTGGAAGTGCTAATAAATAAATATAACTATGACATCGTTGGCATGACAGAGACTTGGTGGAATAATACACACAATTGGAATATTGGTATAGAAGGGTACAGCTTACTCCGGAAGGACAGGCGGGGAAAAAAGGAAGGAGGTGTTGCCTTATATATTAAAAATGTACACACTTGGATTGAGGTGGAGATGGACATAGGAGCTGGATATGTTGAGAGTCTCTGGGTTAGGCTAAAAGGGGTAAAAAACAAGGGTGATGTCATGCTAGGAGTCTACTACAAGCCACATACCCAGGTGGAAGAGGTAGACGAGGCTTTTTTTAAACATTTAACAAAATCATCCAAAGCGCAGGATTTGGTGGTGATGGGAGACTTCAAATATCCAGATGTATGTTGGGAAACATAGGTGTGTCTAGACTACAGAGTTT